TGCTTGTTTACATGATCCAGGTGAGGAATATGTTTTTTTTCCCATCATTTCACTTTCATTTCATGGATGTCTTTGCCTATGAGACAAATTGAAGACAGCATATTATTGGATCTTGTTTTAATCCAATCTGCCAGTCTATGTCTTTTGATTAATGAGTTTAGGCCATAAACATTCAAGGATATTACTGAGATATTATTTGTATTCCTGGTCATTTGGTTTATTTCTCATTTTTAATTTGAATTAGTTTACTCTTTGATTGACTATTCATTCAATGTAGTTTCTCCCTTTGCTGATTTTCACTTTTTTAATTTCATCTTTATGGAATATTTTGTTGAGAATGTTCTGCGGTGCAGGCTTTCTAGTTGTGAATTTTTTTAACTTTTATTTATCATGGAAGGTTTTTATTTCATTTTCAAATCTGAAGCTTAATTTTGCTGGATATAGAATTCTTTGTTGGCATTTATTTTCTTTCAGAGTTTGGTATATATTATTCCAGGACATTCTAGCCTTCAGAGTCTGGGTTGAGAAATCAGCTGAGATGCAAATAGTTTTTCACTGATACTTAATCTGATTTTTTCTCTTACAACCTTTAAAATTATTTCCTTATTCTGTATGTAAGGCATTTTCATTATAATGTGCCTTGGTGTGGGTCTGTTTTAATTTTTTACATTTGGGATACTATAACTCTCTTGTATTTGATTTTCTATTTCATTCTTTAGTTGAGAAGTTTTCTGATACTATTTCATTGCAAAGATTGTGCATTCCTTTGGTTTAAATATCTGTGCTTTCATCTATCCTGATAAATATTAAACTTGGTCTTTTCATGTTACCTTTAATTCTTGGAAGTTCTCTTCATGGTTTCTTACCATCTTCTTGGCATGGTTAACTTTATTTTCAACATTATATATTTTGTGTTCATTGCCTGAAACTCTATCTTGCAAGTAATCTAATCTGTTTGTGATGCTTTCGATTGAATTCTTAATTTGGTTTATTGATCCCTTCATTTTGAGGATTTCTGCTTGATTTCTTTTCAGGATCTCTCTCTATTGATTTGATCTTTCACTTCCAGAAATTCATCTCTGATTCCATTCCTTACATCATTTTTTATGTCACAGATCAGTTCAATTATGCACATTCTAAACTCCTTCTCTGACATTTCTTCCACTGTG